ACCCCGCTCCATTCCCCATCCCGCACCGGGTATTTTCCCCATCCCGGAGCAGGTTTCCCGCTCCCGCCCGGAGGCCAGGAGAGGCCATCGATCCCGGGAACCGGAGCGTGAACGTCGCTCCCATAATCCCTTAAAACCCCCTTGTTTTTATTCCCGCAAAAAACACCTGCCGGGGATTTATTCCCCCCTCCCGGCGCATCCGGCCGGTTCGGGTTGTTATTCCCTTCTCCCCCTCCTCCCGGCCGTTCCCAGACATCCGCCCCGCTTCCCGGCGGCTCCTGGGCAGGAAACGCTGCCGGAGCCGATAACCGGAGCAGGACAATGCGGCCGGAGCGCTCCGGAGGTGGATCCGCCTCCGGACGGCACCGAGTCCCGGTTCCCCCCAGGAAAAGCCGCCGGATGCCTCCGGCCTCCTAAGAATAGCTAAAACCGGGCGGATAAATCCTTAATTCCCGACGGCGGCTCCGATTATTTTCCCCGGTGGGGGGGGAAACTGCTTTCCCGCTTGGAAACTTCGCTCCTAGGTGAATTTTCCTTTAAGGATTTTCTCCCCCTAAGTGAAATCTCCACTATGTCCCGTTTCCTGACAAATCCCTGCATCTCTCTCGGGAAAGGGGCACGTTAAAGCCACGGACACCCCAAAATCCACAACATCCCAGCAGAAAGAACCTCATCCATAGGTTTTCCCCCTGGGAAACGGCCGGATTTCCTGGGAAAGGCTCCGGCGCTCCCGGGCTCCCTCCACCCTATCCGGCTCCAGGAGGAGCCGCTCCAAGGATGCTCTGGGCGCCCAAGGAAAATTCGGGATCGGGATACGGCAGGAGGGGGGACACATCCCTTCCTCCCCATCTCTCTTATTATATATTAAATCTCCATTTAATCTCCATGAAATATTTTCTTTAAGAGCTGTTTTTTCCAGAGCCGGGAGAGTTGGAATGTTGGGGGGGGATCAGGAAGGCTTTTCCCAAGGGATGAAGCGGGAGACACAAGCACAAACCCTCTGGAAACTCATCTAGGGTTATTTGGGAGCCCAATACGGGGTGGGCGTCGTAATCCCAGGCGGGATTTGCCACTCGGTGCGTTAACTCTGAAGCCTAATGAGGTCCGGGCCCAGGCCGCGGCGGTGCCGGGTGCGGAAGGCCGAGCCCAGGGCTCCGTTGGCGCCGGCTCCGTCTTTTGCCACCTCAAATCCGCCCCCGCTTAAGGCTTTAATCGGCTCTAAAAATTAATCCCGGGCATATGCGGATAACAGCGGCGTGGCGGAGAGAGAAATAATGGGAAATCGGGAAAAATCAGGGATGGAGCTGGGGGAAAAAATCCAGGAAAACCCCCCTAAAAAAAAGCCCGTTTTTCCTGAACTTTTGGCTAATCCACAGCAAAATTTTCCACCCTGGTTCTCCGATGACATCTGCTACTCCCAGCCCGATATTCCCAGAGAAATCGGCCCCTCCAAAGGCTTTTCCAGTCCCCATTCCCGCCCGCAAAGGCCGTTTTTCCAGCCTGGGCGCTGTTGAAAGCGGAGGTGGCGGATTAAAGCGGAGCAGGGGGGGAAAAGGGGATTTGGGGATTTAGGGATTTCGCTCCGTGGCCTCGCGCGCTCGGATTAAGCCGCTCGGGCGCCGTGAAACCGAACCCGAAATTAAACCGGGAGCTTTGATTTAAGGCGATGGAAGCGAGCGGCCGAACCGGAGCGAGCGGAGAAGCCGGCCGGAAAAACCGGCCCCCGGGCGCCTGTCGGAAAGGGCAAGAAAAATCT